TCTAACACTAAGTAGCAATCACCATAGAAACACTCTAATAAACATAATTATTATAGAGATGCTCTTATAAACACTTGGCAATAAGGGCTTGAAATTCTCCACGCAGACTTAATGTCAGAAAGTCATCAAACGTTATAAATTATGCTTCAATTTGGAATGCCAATGTACGGCTATGCCACATTCTTTTAATTTCAATTATCAAAAGTGTTTCTACTAATCATTGTTGATAATAAATTTTTAATTCCCGTGAGAAATGCACTACACCTTGAATTGGGCATCTATAACCTTAACAGGTGTGTGGGGGTTTCCGACCTATAAAACTAAATATATTTTATATCCGTTTATACCTTCGTAATCAATCTTCCCATCCCCATTCACGTCAGCTTCTGTCATCATATTCTCAATTTCATCATCGGTCAATTTTTCGCCCACACCTCTGACAACTCGTCTCAGCTCTCCGGCATCAATAAACCCGTCTCCGTCTTTGTCGAATACTTTAAATGCTTCTATGAGTTCGTCTTCCGGGTCGTCTACCATGTGCGTTGCCATTAAGTCAACAAACTCGTCAAAATCTATCACACCGTTTTCTAGTGAGAAACAAAAATAGTGAAACGAACTTTTTTATAGAAGTGCTTGAAGTGCTGCATCTGTAATAACCTGCGTGCTCTCTTGACAAACATGAAAAATAGCAAAATTTCCCTTGAGTAAAGATTGTAGTCTTATAATAATAATTATTTATGCGCGTACACTTTTCTTTTTTATGGAGCCTCATTACGGTCAATATAACAAATTTGCATTTCGTTTTATGAGAGAAAAATAAAAATTCTGTACCTCGTTATAACGATATATTATCCTGTAATAACGATATACTATCCTATAATAATAATGTTTCGTATCACGCTATAACGAGAAAGTATCTTCTTATAACGAGGTAGTATCTCATTATGGCGGGATAGTTTTTACTTTTCCATAAAACGAGGTGCAATTCTTGTTATTGGTGGTCCAACTGAGGCTCCGTACATTAACTGTGATCACATAAAAGCAAGTTTACGGCTTCAACGCTGTATTATGATTCACTGAGAACAATCATTGAGGGCGTTCCACTCTGCCATAGATGGCTTAAATCGTCGTTCAAACTTGGGCGAGAGGGTGTCTGTCAAACGGACAAACTACGACATAAAAACAAATAGCGATTAATATATAATTGGACAAACAAAACATGATCATTTATAATACAATGATTTAACTGTCGCCTTAAAATAATGCATTCGTTGCCGTGAGGATAAGTTATTAAGAAACTGCTCCAGAAGTATACTGTATTTTCCAATACTAGTAGCTGTACAGGTTACATGCCATTGAAATTAATATGATTTCATTGATTGATAGGCAACTAATTTGACTATACGGCAGAGCCCTCGTTCACACGTTTATGAGGAATGGAATTTATTTGAATAAATGACAGGTGTATCACGTGGTAGGGTTTTCTCGAGCGAAGCATGCATACACCGCATGGTGAATGCTAATTTATTGTTAACCACAACAACAGTGTATAAGATGTACAGGCCGCAATGTTGACACATTGTTAACAGAACAAGTGTTCCAGATGAACAAATAGCAATGTGACACATTGTTAACCATGAGAGCAGTGTCTCAGATGTTCAGATCTCAATGTTGACACATTGTTAACCATAACAACAGTGTCTCAGATGTACAAATAGCAATGTGACACATTGTTAACTAGAACAATAGTGTCCCAGATTTACAGATCGCAATGTTGACACATTGTTAACCAGAACAGTGTCCCAGATGTACAGGCCGCAATGTTGACACATTGTTAACTAGAACAACAGTGTTCCAGATTTACAAATCGCAATGTTGACACGTTGTTAACCATGAGAACAGTGTCTCAGATGTACAGATTGCAATGTTTACACATTAATAACCAGAACAAGTGTTCCAGATGTACAAATAGCAATGTGACACATTGTTAACTAGAACAACAGTGTACAAGATGTACAGGTCGCAATGGTGACACATTGTTAACCATGAGAACAGTGTCCCAGATGTACAGATTGCAATGTTTACATATTAATAACCAGAACAGTGTTTAAGAAGTACAAATCGCAATCTTGACACATTGTTAACCAGAACAACAGTGTCCCAGATTTACAGATCGCTATGTTGACACATTGTTAACCAGAACAGTGTCTAAGAAGTACAGCTCGCAATCTTGACATATTGTTAATAAGAACAAGTATCTCAGATGTATAGATCGCAATATTGTCACATTATGAATGAAAATGAATTCAAACGTACCAGGATTTCATCAACCCTTTTCGACGTTGTTTCACAATGATAAATGTGAACGATAACCTACACAGACATTGGCACCTGTAGTACAAAGCTGCCTCGACGGTTATGAACTCCATCTTGTTATTAAATACATTCGTGCGTTACGCCAGGGAAAAATAGATATAGGATATACCCATGTAAAACACATACACGTCATTTGATATCTATGTATTTTGTGATACCTGTGACAATAAAACATGGCTATTCATGATAAATTGATAATATTCAGTCCACAGCACCCCATTAGTATAGCTCTAGATATGCTTCTCCCTGGAGACCAATCAAAATGCAAGTGATATTAACTCACATTTTATGGATTATTTTTATATTGGATCGATCAATAACCAGCAACGCCAGTGTTCGCTTGGGACGAACATGAATGAGTCACCTGATGATCAGCTCCTTTATGTTAAGCGATGCAAATCCGTGAATCCATTAATATCCAAAGACAATTTACATTACAGTATCATACGTGCCGCGTTACCCACAGTTTTTTTTACATGTTTTATTCATTCGTCTTCACGATTGTGTCCATGTACAACTCGCTGTACGTGTATCAATTCGATGTCAGTCGTTTTTATGTCGTTTGCCGCGTAACGCATGCGTAATAAAGACCAGGTGTAACAATTGCATTAACAATGATCCCCTTAGGCAATGAGTTCTGTCAGCGAGACATGCTTCTATTTAATATGGTAATTTCTGTACTTCGCTATAATTAATTCGTTCCAACACATACCATAGAAAAATTTGTCAATTAATTACGTAGATAAAATGAGGTGGAAATGTCATTGAATGTAATGAATTCATTCCGACTTGTTGCTGTGCTGTGCAACACAGCTACTCCCTGTGACGTGAATGTCAAGTAATCACCCTTTGTACATAATAACAAACCAACCCTGGGCCTTTAACCCTTCTGCCTTCGTATTTGTTTCAGTATTTGTTTATAATATAGTCATTATTGTGTAAAATATTTGATGAACGACCCACAGTTTTTAAAGGATGTACTCGCAGTAAATACGACAGAATTCAACATACAACAAAAGGTACATTTTGTTTCTCAATTTACTCTTTTAGATTTAGCTTCGGCCGTTACTAACCTCACATACAAATACAATGACGAGTAAGATGCTAGGATTCGTAGATTTCTTGTTTAGTGTTTGTCAGACTAGTCAGTCATCAAACAGCCACCCACCCACCTCGTCAGTCTCACGGTCAGCCAATTATTTTTACATTTAGCCGTGTACTCACTATTAAAATCTGTTTTTGCTATCATCAATTCTATTTCTTTATCTGTTGGATTCTGCCCAAGGGTCCTCATAAGTGTACCAAGTTCATCAGATGATATTGATCCATTTCCATCCTTGTCAAACCAATCGAAGCATTCTTTGAGCTCTGTAATAAAAACAGCGATTATGAGATAGTAGAGTGATAATAGGGAGCAGTATGCCGAATATAGTGATTACGTTCACCGCATATAGTCGCAAATTAACACAATAACTCATTAATCTGCAAATAATTTGAGCGACGTTGTGAGTTTACTATTTGCATCGACAATATTTACTATGTCCTGGGATAATAACTACAACGCAGCTGTTGCGGCGACGCTCGTAAATGTGTAAAAATGGTATATGGCGATTTTATCGTACAGCGCGGCCATTGATACATCAAACAACTCAATCATCCATGATGTATTATATTTGAAAATGAATATTTCTTTCCAATACCATTACACTAGTTTTAGTTGTGTGTATTTGTAGTATGTTGGCAATGTCCGACAATAAAGAGACAGTTTAAGATTGAAACCGACGTCAGTTTCATATAATACACATCAAAATGAGGAAATATATATACAACCACGCTTCCCATCCAATAATTCATATCACCAATGAATTATCTGGTTAACTACTACTAAATTTGTATTGAAAATGATATAGTGAATGTTGCTGTGTCACTTATTTGGCTAACCACGGTCCAGATTGGAGTACATATAGTCCTTCCAGATTCTGTTACCGATCGCCAATTTTCTAATAAAGTACGCCCTCTTTGGCGGAATGTTGTTGAACACACATATGCATACATCAATATTTGACTTTGATGAAGTCAAAACAAATATCGAATTGCGATTCTTTGGCTCCCGTAGTTTGTAACACGTCTTGCACACTGCCATCATCATCTTCTGGCATCCTTCCACATATTTCTGGCCCCATCAACT